AGGAAGGAATCATTTTGTCTGTGAGACAGTTTAGAGCTTGCTTGCATTACTTATGTTCAAGCACTGATGATTTTAAAGATTTTTTGTGCCTTAGATTTCCACAGCACTTTCTTACAAAACTGTCTCACCACCAAAGTAAAGTATTTTTAAAATGCTAAATATATTTTCATGGGAGAAGATTAAGAATAACCCATTTAGGGCTGATGTAACAAGTGCAGCTACTGGCACAGCAATAGTCCGAGTGCTCTTCTCAGCTCAGATATTTTGTTAGCACTTCTGCCTTTTACCCAAGAAAAGTTGAAATCATTTTAATGAATTCATGAAACCCTTAGTTAATGTGGCATGTAGTTCCAACTTTGTATTATTTAGGAACATTGAGATTTTGAAATAAATTATGTTTTTAAACTAGTACAAGTAAAAGAAAATGTAATATCATTCTTACTCTCTTCTTATTTCCATTTGCCCTTTTTATTGTGCTATTCTTGTTTTTTTTCTGAACGAAAAAAGTTTTTGCTTTTCATAAAAAAGAAATACCTAAACTCTCATATGGCCTATTATTTACATTATAATGGCATATAGATTAAAAAGAGAGCAATCCCTCCCTTTCCCACACAGACAACAAACGAGGCATATACCATTCAATAGGGTGGTAAAAATACCAGGACAGGAAAACAATTTTTTTGTTCTAGGTGATTTTTAAATTCACTAGATGAAGATATACTTGATAAAACATGATTAAACAGGAGTGCTTGACATCTGCTATTCTGAATATTATAGTACATGTAGTTTACTTATTATTCAGAAACGTCATTTTCCCTCAGCATAAAACATAAATTTAAAGGATTGAAAAGTAATAGCATTTATAACAACTTTTGTGAAAATCATAAGAAAAACAATCTGACCAAGGAAAAGATCCTGAACTTTAAAGCAAGCAAAGATATCTTCCTCAACGTTTATAATGGAATATGTTTCAATGGATACAGTCAGCACTGACAGAAACTACAAATACACTGCTGAATTATTTTGGAAGATTGTCGGTGTCAGCACCAACTGACATAAAATGGGGTTTTGTTTAGAAACATCCTCTCCAAATATAAAAACCAAATTATGGCACAGATTACTTAATTATTTACTTTTAATATGACAGAGGATATACACCTTTGATCTTGGAGATTTTAACAAGCCAATCTATCTGTCTTGGCACCAACAAAGTCTCTTTCACTATAGCAACCATTTTACGTATTTCAAATAATTCATTCTCCCAGCATCAGGTTAGGGTCACTACCTTGAGGGTTTTTTATCCACATTTGACAGATGGGAAATTAAACTTGTGATATCACAAATTTGAACCACTGACATAAGAAGGAAAGGATGCACATTTTTGCTCCTAAATCATGTCATATTCAGTCACCTGAGATTAAAATATTCGTACTCCACCAATAATAAGGAACAGATACATGTTTGTGGAGCCGCTCCAGAAAGAGTCTCAATGGAGACTGTAAGCCATCAGACCTAGTATATCGATAGGCACATCAAGTCTTTTCTGCTAATGACAGAAGGACTGTTGTAGGTGTAGTATCATAGAGAGGGAGCAAATAGACTATCATAGAATTTATAGAATAACCTCTCTTCCTTATTTCCCTTGTCTCTTTTTGTGATTTAAGTAGGAGCTATGAAGATATGACAAATTCATGAAGAGATATTGGAGATACAGGAGAAGGGACTGCTGACCTCATTTCATGGAGGATTACTTTTCCTTCCCGACAGCAATTCTATCTTACTCTGGAATGTTATGTCATTAGGTTACATCTTTCTCGGAGGCAGCACATCCCAAGCGAAAAAAAGGGAAATCTTGGGAGCCTGCCAGGCTTGCAAATAGACTGAATGACTTGCTTCACTGAAGGAACATCTCTCATTCTCTTTGACTCAAGGTACATCAGATGATTTTAAAATGAAGGAGATAAGACTGCTCTGGCAATTATATCGCAGGAAATAAGGAAAGGTACCTGGGCTAATAATTTTTAGAAGCTCAGGAAGGAGGTGCCTGAGGTTTAAAAAGTCCACAGTTCAATTAAATGCTAGAGCACGCACTGCAAAGAAAAGGATTATCAAAGTTGGAAATGATTTTTAGGCCTCAACAGGAAAAAAAAATACAACCCATAAACTTTATCTCTTGCTAAAACTAGCAACCTAATTACTGTATAGATTGACATAAAACAATTGGCTTTCCAGAATCTGCTCCAAATGTACAGCAACCTCAGGCTCAACCTAAAAGTATAAGGAGCCATCCATCAGGTCAGCAAGTTTTGACTGCTTTTGCCCCTCCTTCCCATATCTTACTGTGAAAACAGAACAATTGCCACTTTAGGAAACACTACAGCTCTTTGATAGTAGGACCCAGTTTGATGTGTCCAGTCCCATAATATCCTTGGGAATAAAACTTGAAAGGGGCTGTAGCTTAAGGAGATGTTCAAGGCTTTAACTGTAAATACACATGAAATAAACTTGAAATTTTTATTTCTTTTTTTTTTTTGGCGGGAGAAGGAGGAATGGAGTGACAAAAATTATATTTATGGTTTGAGTCTGTTTCTTAATCTAGGATTAGCAATACTGAATATTCAGACCTTAAAAAATATTTATCCTGAATGCATACTTAAGTTTCTTTCACATGACAGCCTTGTGCAAAGTCTGAAGGGCTGTGCTGAATGCAGATAAAATAAAAGCAATTGCTTAATGCTGATTATTTATGCACATGTTTTGCTGGATTAGGACCTTGGAAAATACAACCATTTCTGTAGCTCTTTTTTTTCTCTGTAAAATTCATCCTTGCACTTCTTAACACAAGTCATACTGCATCCATTTCAGCATATTCCCACTCATGCAATCAACAGCATTTCTGCAGTGAGCAGTGTTTTCTTTAACAGCTGGGTTACAATTCTAAATAGGAGAAACTTTAATTATTGATTCATCCTCATCCTGAAGCTATTCAGCATCACTAAAAACTGGTTCTCTTCTTTCCTCTCATTTACTAATAACAAGTAACCCAGTATAAAGTAACTTCCATCATTGTACTACAATTATCTTCAACAAGACACCACCCAAGACCAGTCACTTCTCTGACACCTCTTTAGCAGTTCATAATCAAGATTCATAAGAATGATACATACAAAATAGAATGCATCCCTGCCCCAGCTTCTATAAACCGCATCTTTTTCTGGTCGCCTACTTAAGAAAAATTCATGCTACCATGTCATAAATATGCCATTCTATCTGTAAGACTAAAATCCTAATGTTTAAATCATTCTATATGAAATTCAGCATTAATTACTTACCAAAATTTCAGTATCTTTTACTTAATAATAATGAAGTATTCAAAATGACCTCTCACTAAACCTAGTGTGATCTTTAGGCCTAATTCAGTTATGCCCTGCTTCAAGCTGAGTGTTATCTTTGCTAGGCTCCAAAATTATGCTGTTATATGTTTCCTCTGTTTCATTCTCCTCCCTGACATTGCCACTCTTCTCTGTATCCTGAGGTGTCCACTTCTTTTTTGTCCATTGATGCTTGTACTTTTTTTGAACAATACCAATATACAACAGCTAAATCTCACAGTATGGCAATT